GTTGCGACCTCATGGGGTCCTCCAACCCTTGCAGGTCACAATCCGCATGCCAAGCAAATTGTTACTATCTTCAGAAGCAACGTTTTCAATTGTGAATATCGTGTCGAGCAAAATTTTTAATTCCGCAATGCAAGTGGTTAGCACAATTTTCTTTTTTTTTGGTTGCCTGCCACGGTATCCAGGACACAATTTTCTTTTTTTTTTTGGTTGCCTGCCACAATTTTCTTTAATATATATATATATACATAGTTATTCTTTTACTGTATTAATTTACTGCTATTTGTCGGACGTGCACCAAGACAATACATTAAAGACCTAAGTAAGGAACAAGCTTTGAAGGTTTGAAACCTAGATACTACGAGGAGAAGCTATCCCAGGAAGAAAAAAAAAAAAAAAAGCTAATAGCATTAATTCAGCTTTGTACATGTGTTTTGGAGATTTTACACATAATTTTCAAAAACTCTCAAATCAAACCCTTCCATTCATAATGCAAGTAACAATACACAAAATATCGTCATTATCATTATTGAGGGGTGATGCCAGTTGTCATCATTGGAGAAAAAAAAAAAAAAAAAAGAAGATTTGGGCTTATATGGGCGCATATGGTTTGAACAAATTGCATCCAAAGTGTGTAAAATTTTACTAGTTCTAGCTGAATTGGTAAGTTTAGAGTATAAAATCTCCAAACTAAACGTATGAAATATAAATTAAGGGCGTTGTGTGAAATCAGTCCATACAACATATTTTCAATAGAAACTTGGGGCACAAACGGTTGTTAGATCAATCATTTCTGTTAAATTTGTCTGGCTCCACAAGATATACATCTATTTTTTCAAAATATAATTCATTTGATCAGCGGATAAAATATAAACAAATTTTTATGAATTTTACACATAACATTAAAAATGATGCACATGCACTAGTTTAAAACTCACCCGTTTTTTTTTGGCCAATCATAACCATAAATCATTCATGGACGGTCATTTTCCAATGGCTAAACAACTCCGTACTGTTGCCTTGGTGCCCACCGTCACATGGTATATTCGTCAAGAAACCATCCACAGTCAAGTAATCTGAAGTTCAATTTAGGCTCCCTCATCGTCAAAAGGGCGGAAAAAGGGATAATTTGAGACCCCATGAGTACCATTTCGACGAATTGCGTGTGATTTTCATTCTGATTTTTCTTTTTGTTTCTGTGTGTGTGTCTGCCCCGGGGGGGGGGTCTTTGGGGCTTTCTTTGATTAGAAGAAAAGTTATGTGGGGAAGTGAAGTGAAATAAAGTAAAAAAAAAAAAAGGAAAATTACTTTCCAATGTATTTTTCTTTGGTAAGAAAAATCTTAAGAGAAAATCGGGAGTTAGTGACAGTTAATGAAAATATTGTGAGTAACTAACAATTTTTTTCCAAAATATTGCAGATTTTGTGAGACACAAAATGCAATAAAGTGAAGAAAAGTGCAGGAAAATTTGCTAACTTTCCTGTGAAACAACGAAAAAATAACTCACTTTCTTACACTTTTCATTGAAATAAATACTACATTAGTACTCTAGGAATTGGAGGTCTTGGATTCAAATCCCTTATCTTCTCTCGGTTCTAAAGTTCCACTCCTTTCCGGCTAGAAAATTAATATATATAATACTACATCAGCTGTTTTTGGGAGTGTTTTTGAAAAATTTTGCTTTAACAGAGTTTTTAGATTATATTTTGAGATATTTTCAAAAAATATTTTGAAATATTTAAATGTAGAAGAGTTTCTAGAATATATATTGAGATATGTTTTAAAATTTTTTAAAAATTTAAACTAATTTTTAGATTACCTTTTAGAGTACTTTTTAAAAATTTTATTATATTTAAAAAAATTAATTTTTGAAAAACACCCCATCCAAACGGAGCTGCGGCGGGAGCTTGAAGCTTGAACTAATAAGAGTCCTATTGTTTCTTTTGGTATTTTGTCTTGTACAAATCCCGAGTCTCCTAACCGATTGAGGGGTGACAGCCTGACAGGGGCTTAGTCTCTCACCAATAAGATCAGGCCAATTACTTTAATGGGCCAATTCTCATTTTCTAGGGCCAGTGAGAAATTGAAACCTCCCAGCTCTTATAAGTTGTAACCCAGGCCCAAGTTTGTAAATTTGACTTGGAGTAGAATGGTCAATAGCCGAAACGGCGTGAAGCGCCAGCACATTTATGACTTTGAACTGTTCAATTTTTATTGGTTTTGTTCTCTTAACAGGGGTGAGCAACTAAAACTGGGAAATGGATCTTCTAGGAAATTGACCTGTATCTTAGAACCAAATACTACTACTGGTTAAAAGGGCAAAAGAGTTGACCAGTTTGTTATCCCCGCCGACGGTCGGACCGATTACTGACCGCAACAGGGAACGGATTAACATTGGGCAAATGTAACAACTGTCGTCTCACTCGGACCATATAACTTGCATGAACCTTATCACAACTTGGGCTGCAAACGAGCCGAGTCGAGTTTTAAACTTATCAAACCAAACTCGACTTAATAATAGGTAGGCTAGAGCTCGACGAGCCAAGAAAATTGAGTTCGACTTTGATTCAACCAAGGAAAAACCAGACTCGAGTTCGAGTCGACAAGACTCGCGAGTTGTAACTCGATTTCTGACTCGCAAGCAGCTCGAATTGTCAGCTCGTAACGTAGCTCGAATTTCTAATTTGTGAGCAGCTCGTTAGCTCGAGTTTCTAGAAATTAATCTAATAAAACAACAAATAATTATATTTTTTAAATAAATAATAAATATTAGAAATATATATGTATTTTTACTATAAAAATAATAAATATATATCTATATATATATACTCGAGCTCACGAGCAACGAGTTTAATATTTTGATCTCGAGTTCGATATTGATCGAATTCAAGTCGAGTTTTGATTCAAACTGCTCGCGAGCGATTCGATTCATTTGCAATTCTAATCACAACCGAATGCACCCGTCAACCTAGATGACCCCCCCTTTTGTTTTGGAGGTTTCAAAAATTTCGAACCAAGGAATTCTTTAGACATTTTAAAAAATGACGCACCACTATGAAGTAACTCTAATGTTACCCCAATAAAAAAAATGAAAATCTGATGTTATCATACACATTGGAAAAAGAGATGGGTTCGATGGTTCAAAAAGCTGGTATGAAAGAGAAATCCGAATTCAATCTATCTCACTTACACTAAAAAAAATGGAAAAAAAAAATCGTCTTTACCTTGCTATTATTTGTTCCTAAATATTACGGACAAATGTACTCATAATCACTCATCAGTTGCTAGTAACCTCATGTTTTTGTAGGAGGAGTTACCATATACAGTTTAAACCTTGTAAAAAAAAAAGTTATTTTTTTGTACTCAGAATTGATGCGGCTAATTACCAAAACAAACCAACTAGTAATTTATTTTAAACAAAATGTATCCGTAGATCCCTTCATCCATTAAGAAGAGTTCAACATGAAGAAGAATAGATAAAACAGAAAGTCATATCATGGTTAAGCATTTTAATGATAAATAAATAAATATATATATATATCATGTGTAGGTAATGAGAAAATAGATAAATCATCAATTTATGCAACAAGTGAACAAACATGAAAAAGTGAACCATATTTCGACAAACAAAAAAAAGAAAAAGAAAAAGTGAACCATATTTTATTCCTCTTGTTGCAAGCCGCAGAGGTAGAGTTACCCATTTTAAAAAGGGTTAATCACATTTTATCCCCTTAAAGAATACCCCATTTCTCAGTTTACCCCCTAACCTTTAATTTTGCTCACTTAACCCCCTTTAGGACAAAATTGCCCTTGTATTACTTTGACTTTTTATTTACCTTGTTTTCCTTTCTTTTGTTTCTTTTTCTCTTTCTTCTTTATTTAATTTTTCCTCTTTCCCACAAAAAATTTCACCTTAATGATTGAAATTAAAAAAGAGGAATTGCAAAGATCTATTTTCTTCTTAAATGATTAAAAAAATATTCAAATCACTTTCCTAAAATACAATTTTTTTAGCCTTTCAATTCTTTTAATTTTGGATTTTCCTCTTTCCTTTCTAGTTTCTCATTTTATTTTCAAGAAAATATCACAAGATGAAATTGTTTTCCTTTCTTTTATTTCTTTTTCTCTTTCTTCTCTCTTTCATCCTTCCCAATAGAAATTTCATTTCAACGAAAATTTTTGTTTTGAGTTTATAATTGCATATTTCTGGGTGAAGGTTTAAAAGACATCAAAAACTAATTTTGATTTTTTGTATGATGCCACGTGTCACAAATTTCAATTGATGATTATTAATCAGGTCACAATTTCATCTTAAGATATTTTCTTGAGAATAAAATAAGAAACTATAAAGGAAAGAGGAAAATCCAAAATTAAAAGAATTGAAAGGCTAAAAAAATTATATTTTAGGAAAGTGATTTGAATTTTTTTTTAATCATTTAAGGAGAAGATAGATCTCTGCAATTCCTCTTTTTTAATTTCAATCATTAAGGTAAAGATTTTTGTGGGAAAGAGGAAGAATTAAATAAAGAAGAAAGAGAAAAAGAAATAAAAGAAAGGAAAACAAAGTAAATGAAAAGTCAAAATAATGCAAGGGCAATTTTGTCCTAAAGGGGATTAAATGAGCAAAATTAAAGGTTAGGGGGTAAACTGAGAAATGGGGTATCTTTTAAGGGGATAAAATGTGATTAACCCTTTTAAAAAAGGAGAAGAAAAAAGTTCAAAAGGAGAAGAGCAAAATTAAAATATAAAAAGTGTGAGTTGGGCTGGGCACCGTTATACTTATTTTTTGTTTTGGCATCGCGAGTTAGTGCGACTGTAGCTCAACAACTCCGTATTGGGTGTATTATCACATATTTTATCAGTTTCCTAAAATCATTTTGTTTTATACGTTATTCTTATTTCAGATAAATTCTAATCCACTATCTGATTAAGATTTTTTCCCTTTCCTTCTACGTCACCCGCCATAGCTGACGGAGAACATGACCACCAATAACAGATTGCCACGGGCGTAGGAATACGTGTCTGACCCAGTTGCCACTGTGACCGTGACGCGTCCGTGGTGACCTCTATCCTCTCAAATCCCGTCGCTCCTCTGAGAAGTATGTTCACATTTATTTATAAATAGCGAATGAATTAGTGGCCAGCTGATATTTAATCATTTGATCGCCGGAGAACAGATCACCCGAGAAATCTCCGGCGCTTTATCTCATTTCAATTGTTCTTAGCAGTTTGACCCCCCCCCCTGCAACAATGGTGAGGCTTTAATTTCTTTCGCTCGTGTGCTGTTTTAACTTCGCCAATAACAGCTTTTTTTTTTTGTATTATTATTATCATCAGTAAATTTATTGCAAGAAATTGTGCGTACATCTTGTGTTTTTTGATTGTTTAATGCATCTTTGTCTGTTTCTGTTGAGTAATTTCTGGGGAAAAACGGTTGAGAAAATGAATCAATGTAGATTTCTAATTCTTGCATACTTTGCCTGCTCTAAGGGTCAGATCTAAATAATTGAAAGGATCTTATGAATGATTCTTTCTGTAAAGCATTCATGAATCCTCCTCTTTTTTTTTCATGGAGGGGGGGAGGGGGGATGCGATCCAGGTTTTAGATTTAGTCACCCCGTCCCCGTCCCTTTTTCTGAGTGGGGTGAGGGTGTTTAAGGGGGGGGGGGGGAATAAAAAGCCATATTCTTTGGTTATCTTTACAAATTGCTTGCGGAATTAGGAACTTTTAGCTGACTCAATTGACTTTGTGATAGAAAGGATAAATCTTTTTCTCTTCACAGTCTTCTTTTGCGAGTCGAGGAGGATCCAGATTCAATTTTTAATCGTTTTTGTTTTATTTATGAAATTGACTGAACCATTGGGAAAATTCCTTTACTAATCAAGCGCTAAAGGTATTGATTCTGCCATTCCACTAGGGAATGGGGTACTCAGTGAGTTGACCCTATGATTTTTAGACTAGTTTAAATAATGAAAATAAAATATCTTGGGCATCCTGGGGAGGTGTGGAAACTTAACTAGAACAGGATTGACAGAAGCTGGAAATTTAGGCAAACAGGGTGAATTTGGTGATGGATTTACGTCAAAAGGAAGTTATGACATCCGGGCCAATTTTGTGAGGCAGGTATAGATGCTAACATAGCAGTTTTATCTGTTCGTGTTTCGTCTTAGGTGATCAGGCATTCTCTTGCCAAAATGGGTCAAGTAGGGATTCGAGGATTTTACTGTCAGTGGATCTCTCAAGGGATTGGCATGTGTGGCACTATAGTATAGCATACACATTAGATGGTAGAGAACGAAATCACGCTGGTTTGACACTATACATCTTGATGCAGTGTCGTTAGATTGGTTTAGGGCTGTTGGCTTTTGCTTACTTCCACATATTTGAAACTGTTAGCTTTCTAGCATTGAGCTGGTTATTATCATCTACAGTTGCACTATCCTGACTTTGTGGTCCAATATTCTGCATGTGTTAAGGAAGGATTCCCATGTGTTGAGGGATTCAACAAAGCTATGCTTTGAATTTTAGGAGTGGTCTTGTAAATGTGGGTCTGTATTATTGGTGGATCTTGATGCTAATTCCCACGTCTTGTGGGTTGCTAGATTTTATTGTTTGCCTCAATTGAGAAACAGGTATTAACAGTACGAGGCATGGTAACTATAGAATAATTTTTTTGCAGACTACATCAAGGCGTCTTGCTGATAGGAAGGTGGAGAAGTTCGAGAAGAACATCACCAGACGGGGAGCAGTTCCTGAAACTAGTACAAAGAAGGGAAGCAACTACCCTGTCGGCCCTATCTTGCTTGGTTTCTTCGTTTTTGTGGTCATTGGATCATCTATATTCCAGATAATTAGGACAGCAACAAGTGGAGGAATGGCTTAACCGTCCAGTGGTCAATTGACCAAATACCGGCTGCCAGTTGTAGTGTTTTTTTTTGCCTGTTAGCAGGCAAATGTAGAAATTAAAGTGAATCGTAACTAGATAAAACTTTGTTTGTGTTTAAAGGACTGATGGAACACACAGTTTTTCTTATATAGCTGAACCTTTTCTCATTCAATCGATGTTGTGCTTTTTTGCCTGTTGAGTCAAATATGGGTCGTTTTTTCTAGTTTCATTTCGTTTCTCATTCATTTGACTCCTGTTGTTCTGACCGATCATTGTCTTCCTGGTTTGACAAAGATCCGGATGAAACAAGACGAGATGGGCTTTCCTTGTTGGCTTGTATTTGTGTCATAAAAAGCTATTAAATTTGTTTGATGGGAAAAAATCGACTTTCCCATGAAGAAAGATTTTGGCAAACTAATGTATATTTCTTTAGTAGTGTGGACATCAGCCTGCATTTGATGTCCTCGCTACCGGAGGCAAGACAACTAAATCTAGGTTAGCGGGATAAGGAGCCCACAAGCCTGATCCTGTCCTACTCTTCATCAAAACTGCTAGTTCTGTTCTTTGCGTTGGCGACGGCGTGGTTCCGTCTTGCTCGGAAAAGAATGCCACCAAGTGTAGGATCACAATTTGTAAACAGAAAAAAGGCTTGAACAAATCCCCCTAACCTATACGCAACATAGCCAAAACTGAGCTGGTCCCTCGGTGTGACCATGTCCACCTCGTTGAACCAAAGGCGGCTGAACGAGTTATTTAGTGTTGCATGTTCCCTTACGACGATTGCTCCCTCTGGCACGTCTGCAATAGGTTACGTAAATAGATTAAAACATGGTGTAACCTTATGAAAATTTACACAATCAGTTAAAAATTCTGCAAAGCTTCTTTGACGTGCTCTTGGAAAAGATTTTGATGCATCTAGGATCATGTTACAGAGCCAAGGATGATAATCACGTCAGACACACAACTCATGCTACTGCCTACTACAAAACGCCTTACAACGTATTCTATATCAGATGTTAGTATGCTGCAGCTACGTTTACATTTCTTGACAATGAACAATCCTTCCTCCTCTCAATTCTATTCCGTGCACCATAAACAGGTCTGAAGAGGTCGTTTTTGTCCTGCTGGAGTGAGTCATCCGAGCTGGAGAAGGCCTCTTATCCTGGGTGGTTATCTCAGACGAGGTCACCTGCTTAAATTGTAGGAGGGACTAGAGTCCCCGGTGTAACTCCGAAACTTAAGTCAGTTCGGGAATGAAAGAGTAATGGGTATAGAGAAGACTAGTATGCCTTTACCAGAAATTTGGCCGTCCCCTTTCTCAGTGGAGGCGTTGATATTTATAGGAGTCAGATAGGAGAGAGGGACTGCTTGCACAGGTCCCCAGAGATCCGGCAGTGTCAGTGTATCAAGGTGAGTTAATGGACTCTGCGGAAAGGTGCGCCGGAACAGTTGTGTCAGGCGGCGTATGTCAGAGCAGCTTTAACAGAAGTGTCAGAGGTGTCAGAGGCCAACTCCGGTTGCCAGGTCATTATGCTTGACCTCGGCTTACTGAGTGAAAGCCCTGGCCGAGGCAATAACTGGGCCGAAGTCAAGGCCCGATGGTGGGAAGCCGAAACAGTCGGAAAAGCTCTAGTGAGCTGGAAATACCCACCTCACTAAGCCCCCCAGCCTTGGAAAGGGCGAGGTCGTGGTCACCCGAAGTCATCACTTCCCGAGGCTGCCGTGCGTGTGTAACACGGAACATGGCAAGGACACGTCACGACTGTGTAGATGTGACTGGGGGAAGGTGGAACGGGGGCTGGCAGCTTTAACGTCGGATCAATACGATCGATTGTCAGGTGAACAGCACCTTCATTAATGAGGGGAGAGAAAGCTTTAGGGAATCCCAAAGATTGCGTCTCTTTGGTTCCCCCCCTGTTGCCTATAAATAGGGGTTTCTTTTCACCGTTCCATTCTTTACCAAAATTCGAAATCACCTCAGAGCTCTGTCTATTTGCTTTTTCACTTCGGCAATCTTTCCAACCTATCTTCCTCAGCAACTTCTTCACTTCGCATCTTCTAAGTAAGTTCACTTCTTCTTTCTGTATTAATGGCTAGAACAGCTCGCACACACAAAGAGACGGTGAGGCCTGACTTCACCGAGGCAGAGAGGCCCGGCCCTTCCGAGGAGAGAACTGCATCCGACGCCGAGGAAGGAGGTGCGGAGGCTTCTTACCTAGCCCGGGGAGGAGGTGCGGAGACATCTCGCCGAACTGAGTCTCCGGAAGAACAGGCCGAAGAGATTGAGGTCGAGCCCGAGGTCTTGTACAATGATGACCTCGGGAATGAAGTTCCTAGGGACGAAGGTGTACAGGAGCCCTCCACTCCTCCAAACGTGGCCACGCTAAACTATGGTCAGATGCCGGCCTTCATCAGTGCGATGGCCCAAGATTCCATAGCCGAGGTGATCCGCAAGTACCCGTGGAGGAGGGATTACAGTGTCTACCTGCCGCGCCCACATCAGTCCGCCGCTCTGCCTCCAAAGGGTAGGGTAGCTATCTACACAGAACAGCTGGAGGCCGGACTCAGGGTGCCCACCACAAGGTTTCTTCGGAACTGCCTGAGGTACTGGGGGGTGAGGATTACTCAGCTCACCCCAAATGCAATTCGTATCCTTGTCGGCTTCCAGCTACTCTGTCGACATCAAGAGATAGAGCCAAACGTGAACCTCTTCCGCCGTTGTTATTCACTCAAGAACAGTGGGAGCGAGAAGGGGTGGTTCTACTTCGGGAACAAGGTTCCCAAGTTGGTATATGATGCCCCGAGCTCAATAAAGGAGTGGAAGAATAACTTTTTCTTCGTCCCCGCTGAGGACTTCCCCAGGGGATTCTGGTGGAGACCTCCCACTTCGGTCAAAGAAACCTCCCCGGGCAAATTGGAAGAACGCAACTTCCAAAAGTTGACGGGGTCGGGCCTGAAGATTAACTGTTGGGACTTCCCTGAAAGAGTGCTCGTGAAGGGCGAGCTCAGCCGAGCCTTGATCAGCTCGGATCACACCATCCTCGTTTCTACTAGGCTAAAAATACCTTGTACTTTTCCATTCCTCACTTTCTTGTTTATTTTCCTTGAATTCTAACTAACTTCATTTCGTGCTTTGCAGTAATGAAGGTTTCCGACCTGATTACCTCGGGAGAGGTCGAGGTGGCGAAGAGGCCATCAAAAAAGCGCAAGGATGATGCCGAGCCCTCATCCAGGCCGGCTAAAAAGACTACTGGGGTGGCACGCTCTCGCGAACCCGCCGTGGTGATCATAGGCGAGGGTTCGCACACCTCGGGCACGCCTGGTAGATCCAAGACTTCAACCATCCCGGTGGAAGTTCCATCCCATGGAGTAACCATGGCCTCTCAACCTCGGGGCCGGGGTCGAGGTTCGACCGTGGTCCAGGGTGACTCCATTTCGGGGAACTCGTTATTCAACCTCCACCATGTGCCCTCTCTTGCAGCCGGGGAGGACAAAAGGCACTCCGGGGCACAATTTTGCCCGGAGTGGGATGTCAACGTCAATGACCGCTGCAAGGACCCCCGAGTTGCACACGAGCTCCTGGTGAATTCGGTCCTGCCACGGGACAATACTTACACCAGGAAACTCAATCCAGTCGAGCTGATGCAGGGCGCCGCGATTTCCTGGGCCTCCACCACGGTGTTCTTTGCAGAGATGCATCAGCGCTTCGAGAACTTTATAGAAACTTACGAGTCACCAGCCGAGCTCCAGAAGAGGATCACTGATCTGGAAGAGAAGCTAAAGGCCACCGAGCTGGAACGGGACAAAGCCACAGCGGCGAAGAAGAAGGTCGAGGTCGCCAATAACTCCCTCTTGACTGCCCTTGATGAGGAGAAGAACAGGAGAGTTCAAGAGGAAAAATCAAACAAGGAGGCGATCGACCAAGCCGGGGTTACTGCCGTGGTGGCCTTCCGGAAGTCAGAATGATTTACTTGCGAACTCGGCGAGCTCACCAGGCCAAGCTTCATGTTCGGCTATACCTCGGCCATTAAAGAGGCAGCGCCCTTCCTTACTTCTGAACAGTTAGAGTCCCTTCAAGATGCTCAACATTACAATGAGGACGCCAAGGAACTGTACGACCGTATGGCTGAGGGCATCCAAGAGGGGAAAGACTTAGCCGAGCTCCGTGCTGAGTTCAACAAATGGCTCCAAGAGTTTGATTTGGATGATGAGGGCAGTGAGGGGAACCAGGCCGGCGGAGGAGATGGACAGCAGGGAACCGAAGCAGGGGGTGAGACTATGGGGGACCAGAACCCCGGAGGAGGAGATGCTTAGAAGCATCTATTTTTGCAATAGATGGGCCGAGGTCGTAGATAACCTCGGCCATTAGCTCTTGTAATTGGGAGTCGAGGTCATGAATGACCTCGGCTTCATGCTTTTTCGAACTTTCAATAAAGTTGGCCTTTTTTAGTCTTGCATATTTTTGTTTTGCCTTCTTTTTGATTACTGCTTTGTCCCCTTATTTTTCACTTAGGATAAAATGAGAATAAGTGAGAAATAACTTTAAGAAGTAAGATATAAAAATACGTACCCCTCAAGGGTAATACAACTTAAGGTTCTCAGCATGCCAGGTTCGGGGCACCCGCGAACCATCTCGGTAGGCTAGTTTACAATATCCGTTTTGGCTGGACTCAACAACACGATATGGTCCTTCCCACTTTGGGTTGAGTTTTCCCTGAGGCTCAGCTCGGCTAACCGAGTTCTTCCGGAGCACAAGGTCTCCCGGATTGAATCTTAAATTCTTGACCCGAGCATTGTAATAGCCAGCTAGGATATTTTTGTAGATCGCAACTTTGGCCGCGGCCATATCACGCTTCTCTTCGGCGAGGTCGAGGTCGAGTCGCCGCTCCTCTTCATTGACTTCGGCAGCATACGCAGCCATTCGTGGACTGGGTGTGATGAACTAGCCTAGAACGACAGCCTCGGACCCCATAAGTTAGGGAAAATGGTGTTTCTTGAGTCGCCGACCTCGTCGTAGTCCGATAGGACCACAGCACGCTGGGGAGCTCTTCCATCCACGATGATCCAACCCGGTGAAGCCTGGTCTTGAGGCCATGGAGGAGAGTTCGGTTGAAGTTTTCGGCTTGTCCATTCGCCTGAGGGTGGCCCACCGAGGTGAAATGTTGCCTGATCCCCAAGTTCTCGCACCATGCCTTGAAAGGGTTA